AGGACACCAAGGGCTGTAACACAGAGAAATTCTGTCTACAAGAAGACAACATTAAGCCACAATTTATGCCATGGTAATTAGTTTGGGATGGTGGCAGTCAATGTTTTCCTAATTTGTTTTTGAAATGGATAGGAAAGATGAGTTGAATGTTCCATATTAGTCTTAGGATTCTACTGGGGGGGGGGGGAGCAGCTGTGGCACTGTGGATGGGACAGTGAAAAAAGCAGTCAAGAGTGGCAGCCCAGACAGAAAATGACCAGGGAAGGCTCTCCCGGAAGGTCTGCTGAAGTGGAGAATCTGTGCCCTCCTCCAGGGAGAGAAGTGAATTTGAATGTTGGACACCTTTGATTATCTGCAGGTTTACGTTTGTTAGTCGATAAGCTGTGGCTCTGAAGACATTTTGTGCTGGGAATGAATGCTCCACAGTGATGCGAGGCTATTTCTCTGTCTTTTCTACAAAGGATAATTGAAACCTGTAAGGCGAGAGTCACTTCCTCAGCTCCATTTTGGGATGGGAGACAGCAGCAGACTTCAGACACTGTGATGTTAGCAGCACAGGAAACCCTAGGTCCTTCCCATCTTTTCTGGTTCTCCGAAGAAAAGCTTACATTACTGTGGATAGTTAACAGCAAGACAGTTTTGTTTCTGACTTTCTTTTTTAATAACCCAAAATTTAGATGTAAAGGCACACAATAAAGCTTTATGCATTTATTAAAATATACACATTTTGGTAAATTTATAACTTTCCTTAGTATTTTGATAAATCAAAATATTTGTCAACACCACAGTCATTTGAAAATAAAACACACTTTATAGGACATCTGCATGTTATCCTTTTCTTCATAGTACATTACAACGCCCCATTGTACAGTGCACCAATGGGAATTAAAACCACAAAACGAACACATTAACAATACAACAATTTCATACAGGAAAGGAAAGTAGCCGAGAACACACCAGAAATGACCATCTGCAAAATGCAAGTTGTACTTTTTAAGGACCAAACGAAACTGAAACTGGCTAGTGGAATTTACAGGTTGTATTTGTAACTTTGGGATATGAATTAAATGGTCATGGTACTTTCCCACAGTGAGAAGAAGCAGAATGCAGGGTCCTGTTGGCAGTCACTACGTCGTCACTACGTGGAGCGAGGACATTAGCCGCCCTCTTGAAAGCCTGAAGCTCCTTTGCTCAGCCCAGATAGTTGAGGTATTTAGGTGCTTTTTATAACATTAACAGCATCTCTGCTTTGGGAAGTGGGGGCTTCTGATTCCCAGTGTAAGCTCTCAACTTTATGACTAGAAACGAGACTTATCTATCAGCAACTGCCAAGAGCCCTCCAAGGATGTCCGTGGACAAGGACATCATCCCAACACCAGAATGAATGCAGCCCTTCAGAGTCAGCACTTCTGACAATATTCACATGACCCACAGCTTCCTTTAGCCTGTACTATCAGTGTTAAAGTCAGAAAAGCTAGACAGAAACAGAAAAGAGCACAGAGGAGGTTTTCAATATAAAAATCCAGGCCGTCCTGACCTCCCACTCCCAACAGGATGCTATTTTTCCCCCTCATATGAACCAACACACACTAAATATTCAGAAAGAGTACAAGATTAGAGCCATCTGTGTCAGGAGACTTCAAACCTATGTCGTCTTTTTGGAAGTCTCCTTTGGGCTGTGGGAGTCCATGCATTTATTAATGAGTGATTTCAATACTATTCTAGCTGCTATGGCAGAATACATATGAATTTCTGGTGGACTTTAAACCTTTACTAATCTCTTTGGGCTTTAAGCCCAAAACAAGAAAAGAGGACGTCCCATATTTTTTCAGAGAATTATTTTTCTTTAAAAAAATGTTGTGTATGTGTTTGAGCATGCGCACAGGGTGTAGTGTATGTGTTTGTGCATTTGCACAGGGTGTAGTGTCTGAGGGCATTGTACATCTTGGAGCTGGAGTCACAGGTAGTTATGGTCAGCAAGAACTCTTTTATTTTATTATTATTGTTATTGTTAATTTTTGGTTTTCAAGACAGGGTTTCTCTGTGTAACAGCTCTAGCTGTCCTAGAACTATCTCTTGTAGACCAGGCTCCACAGAGATCTGCCTGCCTCCCAAGTATTGGGATTAAAGGTGTGGGCCACTACCACCCGGCAGCAAAAACTCTTAACTGAAAATGCAGTGACGGTTCTGGAGGAAACAGCCATCTGGCCCTGCTGGTGTGGACCCTCTGGGTTGGGATGCAGTCTCTAGCCTGAAACAATGTCAACTGAAACTGTGGACTCTGATGGTGAGGCCACTGCTGATTGACTGTTGGTCTGGGGTCTCCAAAAGGCCTTTCTGCAGATAAACGGATAATCAGTGTTAAAGAAAGGGCCTATGGAGGCTTCATAAAAATGGGTTGGAAATACCTGTCTTATTAACAAGTCTTTTTGAAAGATGTTTGAAAATGGAGAGAAGTCCCACCACGATGGCGGGCACCTTTTCCTGGTTTTCCTCCACATTCCGCTCCTTGGGAAATGGAAGCCTTTTCTGGTGCACTCCCATGTGGAGGTTGGGGTCCAAGAGTGGACCACTGCCCCCAGGACTCCCGGAACCGATCCAGCTCTAGCTGCAGCTTACGCCCTGACGTTTGACTTTCTATCAGAGAACGTTCTGATATGAGTCGGAAAAGTGGACCAACCTGTGCCTGAGTCTCAGGGGTTTTCCAGGCTCCTGTAAAAGCCCAGCGGCAAACAGGACATCAATTTCCCCTAGTCTTTCAGGTGGATACTTAGATGGAAATTCTATTTATGATTTTATATATTTCGAAGAGGAATTCTCTGGTAATGTGATTTCCAACAAGCATGATCCAAAGGGTGTCAGATTTCCCAACCCTCCTCAGTTGCACAGACATTTCTCTGAGTCTTGTTTTCCAACAGGGGCTGCATTTGTAGCATTGTGGAGGCACAGGACTTGCTCTTACTAAGAGGCAGACCTGGGATTTTTTTTTTTTTTTGCATAATTCCAACATTCAACTTCTCTTCTAGTTTAAACCAGCCTCGAGCTCAATTTAAGTCAAATCAGAAGCAGGGGTTTTACTATTCAGATTAGATAGATACAAGCAGGAATTAGATCTGGTCATCGAAAGGAATTGCCGCAAGCTGTAAAGTTGAAAAGTCGTGTTGCGTGTTAGAAGATAAGAGTTTCCTAAGGGAATGTGAAATCCGAGGCGGGAGGAAGAGCAGTGTCTTGCTTTGAGCACGGAATTTTTTCATCTCTCTGCTAAATGTGTGTACGTGACCCGTTTGCTCCTTGCCTGGGCAACGATACCACTGCCCAGTTTTTCTCAAGTCCAACCTTGCCTGACTTGTACCCCCGCAACCCTAACAAGCACTCCCCACCCACAGAACACCAGTGGGCTTGTCACTCGAGCTGTGACTGACCCCTCCCCTACTTTCCTGGCATCTCTCTTACTGTGTCACGTGAATCACACGTAAATTATAGCGACAGCTACACCAGCTCCTTGCTTTTCCTGGAGGAAGGCAAAGAACAAAACTCAGGGAGCCCTCAGCCACAGTCTGCATCTTAGCGGTCCTCTGCATGCCTCTCTTCCGTTTCTGCCTTGTTAAGGCTCTGCTGCTTCCTCAGGCTGCGTGTACACCATGTTCTTTGATCTCTCCAACGTGTGGAGGTGTTTTCCACGGTTAAGCCCCAAAGCACGTTCTTATCTCCATCCTTCCTGCCATCTTTGATAAGATTCTAAATAGATTTCTTCGAAAGTTTTGTTTATGATTACTGAATGTGTATGCATGGTTTGTGTGTGTGAGTGAGTGTGTGTCCCATAACACCCATGTGAAGGTCTGAGAACAGATATGTGGAGTCACTTCCTCCATGTTTATGAAGGTTCCAGGGATTGAACTGAAGCCATCAGGTTTGCTAGGCAAGCCGTTGACCCTCTGAGCTGTCTGGCCAGTTCTCTAGATCTTATTTCGTAAGAACTGAACCTTTCAGTTATCATGGCCTCAGAGTATGCCATAGCACACAGCAGGTACTCTGTGAATAACTACTGAATAGGTGGCTTATTTTCCTTTATTTCATTTATCTCCTCATGGTCTCCACCAATAATATCGTCCTTCCTTCCTTTTTTCTAGACAAGGACTTTCTGTGTAGCCCTGGCTGTCCTGGAACTAGCTCTTGTCGACCAGGCTGGCCTCTAACTCAGAGATATGCCTGCCTCTGACTCCCGAGTGCTGGATTAAAGGAGTGTGCCACCACTGCCCAGCAGGTATTTCTTGGTATCCACTATCCATTAGGTACACGTAGTTAGTGTAATCTATCTTTGGAGCTTCTCTGTGGGTGTCAGGGGTCTGTGCTGTTTTAACACTCTGCCCTCAGGGGGAAAGGTTTATTTATTTATTATTATTTATTATCATGTAGCAGTCCTGGCTGTCATTACTGACAAGCCTATTGCTTTCTAAGGTGTTCTTCACTGGAAAACTCAGCAAACCCCTTGAGAATCCTTGCGCTTGTGTGTTTCACACATTCTGGCTCTAAGTTTCCCTTTCTCCTCCCATTTTCACTGTATTCTTCCCCTTGGCTTTGGAGCACTTGTGTTTTATTTATTTTTTTTAATTTATTTATTTCTTTATTAATGCACTTGTGTTTTAACAGCTGCCTCCAATCTTAGCGAAATGAGGCAGAGTGTTAATAAATAGAATACAATTTAAAAGATTAAATTATTGGCTCCAAAATTAGACATCCCACATACACTAAACCTCCCATTGGAGGAGTTTTTCTAAGAGAATTATTTATAAGGCAACCCTACTTTTAATGCAGTCTCACAAACACGATGTTCAAATATGATGGTATTTCAAAACCTTCTTGTGAAACCTGGGACTCTTTCACAGGAGTGGAAAACACGGTGAAAACATGCTATGTACCTGAGAAAACTTTCCAAGCTATATATAATATCTATATTAAAAATCAAGACAGCTAAGAAGATAACCCCAACAATTTTAGACAAATGAAGAGAGCAACGATTGAAAACATCTAAAGCTTCTAACTGAGAAAGATGGCATCCGAGATGAGAATAATTCATTGGCTCTGCACAGAAGCAACACCAACGACATCAACAGTAAAGCCCATGCTCTTTCTTATGCTACAGAAATAGCACACACCTGCCACCAGACCATTGCTACTTTAATCCCTAAACACCACCAGGAAGACGTAACTTTCCACCCACGTTAAGATTTGTCACGTTGCATCCATATTTCTCCTAACCATACCTAAAGAAGAGAACATTACCCCGTATATTGAGAAGCGGACCCAGCTTAATAGCTGTTCCTACTAGGCAGGTTTTCTGCATCCCACCCCAGTTTAAAACTTAGTTTTAACAGACACGACTCATAATTATCTTACAGGGAGTTCTCCAGGATACTCGTTGCAGGCCAGGCACTGCGATGTGATGGTTAAGTTTGGGCAAGAGGAAACAGCTTTGTCAGACATTACATAGAAATGGCAAGAATGAGTACTGGAAGCTGGGTTCTCCATAGTTACTATGGAGTGATGAGCGAGATGTCATTTAAAACAATAGCTTCAGTTGATCTTTATCTGTTACGTTGGAGCTTCTTGTATCTGTCATGGGACCCTGCTGTCTCCTAGGTTCCGAGGGCTGAAGTTACAGATCTCCTCGTGGCCTCTACTTAGCCGCTGGTGTATTTTAGGCAGTCAGCTCAACAGGAAGCATGCCTCCTCTCTGTAACCTAAGTACATGCCAAGAAAACATGCGCCTCGGAGCAAGCAAGAAAGAAGTGATGTTAGTTGATATTCATGAAAATTTTTGGCGGATGATGAATTGAGGAGCAGAGGGCAAGGAATTTGCTCTTTTGCCCCATTTCCAAAAAAAATTCTCGCCGAAATCTTAGTGAGAGAAATTTGTTTTCATACACATGTGCACACATGCTACAGAAGCCACATGATTTTCTGTGTAAATTCATCTATCCTGTTTCGGAGAAAATTCTTTAAGAATCCCGTTGGAGGCCTATGCTTAACCCCCACCAGACAGTCATTTCTCTGGACCTCAGGGACGGTGCTTTCGGAATTAAGATGAAAAAAACTCTAAAAGTGAGCAAGCCCAGAGGAGGGAGGTCCAGGTGGGAATTAGAGCTCTCTGAGCTAGATGACCCAAGTTCCTGGTCTTCCACATCTCTGGAAACCAGCAGCATCCAATCAGGCAGTCACCTAGCCAAAGAGGAAAAACCCTGCAGATTTTATAATTTTAGAAATATGAAGTAGGATTTGCAACGTGATCTCAGTGGCTGGGTTACTGCTCCTCACATAGATTTTTATCTGATTATAGAACAAATAGCCCGTTTCTTCCAGGCATATCAGAGGCCTGCAATCACACTCGACCTCTGCCCTTTCCCCAGACCTGCGGGAGCTTAGAGTCTGGTGTAAGGGAAAGCGTGACAGACAGTTCATTTCTGCTAATGCCTTCCTGACCTCGGTTACTTCAGCTTTTCTTTCTTTCTTTTTTTTCTTGAGCATTTAAGTAAAGATTTGGTGGTACTTCTTACTATGCTTTGATGACTATGAGGTTGTTTTACGGGGAATATGGTCTCAGAGTCTTCTGTCTTTTCTGGATCCTAGCCTTATAGTCTGGAAACTGTAAGAACTTTGGTGAGTAAAGAGAAGCCGGTCTTCTCTGTGGATAGTTTTGGGGAGGTGAGATTTAAGGACACAGTGTTGCTGACTGAGAAAGTCCTGAAGCAGCCTGACCTACAGGCCTCGGGGAGCAGCTCCTAGTTCTGCTCTGGGGGTTGTAGAGCCGCCTCACACCACGGCCACCTTTGTGGCTCCTCTCCCAAGGGCCTGGAGCCTCAGTAGGGTTGGAGAAAAGCCTGCTCGGATCTTAGCATGAAGATCCATCCTGCAAAGGAAACATTCGCTGTCCTCGGCTGGGACAGCTCGCTAACATAGAATTTCTTTTGATTTTGATTTTTTTTTTACAAGGGGGTCAGTTAAGGGCCCTGGGTAAAACCTTTCAACAGAACTTTCCTGAACAGCAAAAATAGCAAATGACAGGTTGTGCCTGGGGATGGCCTTTGGGGAAGTTTGTGAAATGAGAGTGGGAAGAAGGTTCCACCTGCCAGCACACAGGCTGGATTCACAGAGAAGCCACCCTCTCGGCGCCTGCAGTTCAGCCCTACTCCGGAGAGTAATCTAACTCATCGTTTGCAATCAGGGCCTCTGAGTTCTGCTTGTGCTTGCTTTTACTTTTCGCTTTGCTACTCGTCCGGGTGTTTGTCTTCGCCTCTGACATCTGTTGGTAATAGAAGCCTTTGTCCTCGGCTGGCCCGCCCCAGTCCTCCTGGCTCTCGCCCTCAGTGGCATAGGAGAATCCCTCCTCCACGGAAAAGGGGTCATCCACATCATAGCGTTGATACATGCTTTGGTGCAGGGCCTGCTCTCTGGCGCTGATTTCCAGGGTGCTGTTCCAGATGCCGTACCCAAAATAAATGAGCAGACCTGTGAGAGGGGAAAATACACATGAATAAGCAGTTGCTCTAGGACCCCTGGGGCCACTGGGGAGATGGACTGGGCTGGGGTGGTGTACATTTTGAAAAGACTTCAATTAAATGCCCTTTGAAATTTGAAAGTTCTAAGAGAGAGAGACAGAGAGAGAGATAGAGAGAAACAGAGACAGACAGAGACAGAGAAAGAGAGACAGAGAGAGAAAGAGAGAGACAGAGAGAGGGGGAGAAAGACAGAGAGACAGAGAGAGAGATAGAGAGAGAGACAGAAAGAGAGAGGGAGAGAGAGACAGAGAGACAGAGTCAGAGAGAGAGACAGAGACAGAGGGAGAGGGAGAGAGACACACAGATACACAGAGAGAGAGAGAGAGAGAGAGAGAGAGA